CAGCAGAGTTATCTTTAAGCGCCGGGACGTGAGCGCTCGCATCACGATCAACCAGACGCTGCAGCAGAGTTGTCTTTGAGCGCCGGGACGTGAGCGCTCGCATCACGATCAACCGGACGCTGCCTGGGACGTGAGCGCTCGCATCACGATCAACCAGGCGCTGCAGCAGAGTTGTCTTTAAGTGCCGGGACGTGAGCGCTCGCATCACGATCAACCGGACGCTGCAACAGAGTTATCTTTGAAAAAGTGCGTGCCGCCACCAGAATCTTATTGGTTCACTTACTTTGCTTTGTATTGCTTTGCTGGGAGCTTACGAGGAAGCCAGTAGCCGTTGTGCAGCCAGGATGGCGGACGCGTCTGGGCTGATGTAGGTGGAGAAGGCCGAAGAGGAACAGCGCCCCAGCTGTTGCAGAGAGGTGTGGGGGAGCCCCAGCGAGGCCGCGCGCGTGGCAGCGCCTATCCTGAATGAGTGAGCTGTGTAGAGCTGGGGAGACAATTTACAGAGGAGCAGTAGGGTTCTTAGTTGAGCTCTGAACCAGGTTGCTGTCATGGGAAGAATGTCTGGAGTGAGAAATAGAGGTCCGTTAAAATCTCCTTTTTTCAGCGGAGGCGAGTGTAACGCATCATGGACCTGTAGGGGCAGAGAGATGTGTCGGAGCGAGCTATTATTGTGTTGCAGGCGCCTCTGATCTTTGAATGTTTGAGATGAAGGTTGAATGGTCAGGGGACATTATGTTGGGTGAAAAAGAGCGACCTTTGTTTAATGCTTCCACTACGTCGAGATTATCACACATGACAGAGATCCTCTTTCTCTGCCACGTGTGATTCCACAGCGCGCAGGCCACAACCACTGGGAATATCTCGTGTAGGGCAGAGGAAATGCTCCGGTGGAAAGTAGCGGCCACGGCCCGGCGAACCACTGGTCCTGGAAGAACCCCCCAAAACCCACGGAAGGGGCAGCGTCCGTGTAGAAGCGGAGACCTGTAGGGGCAGAGACATATCGGAGATGGCCATTGATGTTGCAGGCGCCCTTACGCTTAGAATCTTGGGTTGGAGAGTAGATAATCAGGATAGTAGGATGGTCGGGAAAAGCAGTGTCTCGGACCGCATGAAGGTTGAGTGAGCAGTAGTGAAACGCTTATGCAGAGAAGCCATAGAAGGAGAGCAGGAAGATTCTGCGAGGAGGGCAGACATGTACTTGGAAGATGAGCCGAAGTTCAGTGCCGCTCAGAGCCGCTGCAGGATGGGCAGCATGATGGGGAGCCTGCGACCAGAAGAGTGAAGAATACAGGTATGGATGCCTTTGATTAAGAGTCCGACTGACAGCTCAGCGCAGCAACTCGGCCAGCTGCATCTGATAGAGTCAGAAGATTAAGTAGAGAGATGAAGCATGACCGCCGAAGCGACCCTGGGAGCATAGGTGCGAGTCCAGCGCAGCGCGGCATACTCAGCCGGGCTGCATCCATTAGAAGCAGGATAAGCTTCTGAGAGAGTGGGTTGCAGTAGTAGCAGTAGCAGCAGCGGCAGCAGCAGTAACCTCAGATAATAACAGCAATAATCCTGTATCAAAGCCAGAGCAGTAGAATATTGTTGTAGCTGTTTAGTGTTTCAGTAAAAGAGATGCGAAGTGAAGAGAGATGTCAAAGTACATGAAGCAGCAGCAGCACGGCAGCAGATGCAGTATGAAGCAGCAGCGGCAGCAGTAGCAGCAGTAGCGGTAGCAGCATGAAGCAGCAGAAGCAGCATTAGCAGGAGCAGCAGCAGCACAATGCGATTCATACGAACAAACAGACGTGTCACGCCAGCGTGCGCCGCTTGTCTCCGTGAGCCAGGTTACATACGTGTCTGAAAGAGCCGAGCCGTAGAGACAGGTGCAGCCCGGGAGCCCGCGGAGCGGCAGCGGCAGGAACAGCAGCAGCGGCACATGTAGTAGTAGAAGCAGCAGGAGCAGGCAGCAGGGACAGGCAGCAGCAGGAGCGGCAGCAGGAACAGGCAGCAGCAGGAGCGGCAGCAGGAACAGGCAGCAGCAGGGACAGGCAGCAGGAACAGGCAGCAGCAGGAGCGGCAGCAGCAGGAGCGGCAGCAGCAGGAGCGGCAGCAGCGGCACATGTAGTAGCAGGAGCAGCAGGAGCAGGCAGCAGGAACAGGCAGCAGCAGGAGCGGCAGCAGGAACAGGCAGCAGCAGGAGCGGCAGCAGGAACAGGCAGCAGCGGGAACAGGCAGCAGCGGGATCAGGCATCAGTAGGAACGGCAGCAGGGACCGCAGCAGCGGCGGTCAGAGAACCATGCCCATGGTTGTTTAACAGCCTGAGGAAATAAATCAACCCGAATCCGAAACATTCCCATGCGAATAACAGATGTCCCCTGGAGCCATCTTGCTGCTTTGGTTATGGTAGAACGCATGAACGATCACTTTTCCATGCGTTCATTAGCTCCAACTCCACTTCAAACCCATTGCAGATTCACATTGGGCCCTTTTTCTTTCTGCTGCACTTTCAAAATGCAACAACTGCAGTTTAGTTACCCAATTTAAACTAGTGACCTAGCTATTTAAATGCATGGCCCCTCCTTCCTCCTGCAGATAGACGAATTTAAATACATTCATTTAACAGTAGTGACCTGCGAGTAATGAGATTAATGCTGTAAAGATGGCGCCGTGGCAAGAGCTCTGGTGTGTGCCGTCTGGAGCACGATGGGGTAGTCTTGCACATTTTTCCAACGTGGTTTTACTGCAAGTGGCAGAACATGAATCTGAATTAATGCACATTGCTCCTCTTATATCCCTCAGACAATAGAGATTGATGCCATTTAAGATGCATTGCCCCTCAGTTAGCTCAAACACGTGTAAAACGGAGCCTGCAGACCAAGCACGGGGCGAAAACTGACGCCTGCAGTCAAGTGCGTAGGGCAAAAACCAGCCGCCTGCAGCCTAGACTCCGGGATTAATCCGTCCGCGGTCAGCACACTCACATGCCAGGAGATTTGGGAAAGCAACGGGACAATGCGGCACCGCCAATCGGAGGCAGGGACACGCACGGCACCGCCAGACCGTCTGCGCGCGGCAGCAGACCACGAGCAGCACAGAGCCCGCGGAGGAGCCCCGCGGAGCAGCCCGCAGAAAGAGCCCGCAGAGGAGGAGAGCAGTGGAGACACGCGAACCACAGCAGGTGCAGGGACGCGGAGGAGGAGCAGACCACGAGCAGCCAGACTGAGGACAGCAGGGCCACGCGCACAAGCAACACGTGAGCAGAAGCGACCCCTCCAGAACAACGCAGCATTTGCGAACAGGTGCGTTAGCGACATGCACCTTGCAGGCTTCAGAAGCTTGCAAACTTCAGAAGCTTGCAGACTTCAGAAGCTTGCAGACTTCAGAAGCTTGCAGACTTCAGAAGGCCGGGAAGTGGGCGTCTCCGGCTTTTAACTTGCTGTCCTGGTGGTTATTGGTGGATTAGATGTGGGCGTTTTGCTGGTGTAATGAGTAGAGGATGAGCAGGCTTGTAGATCTGGCGGCAGCGGCCGGGTCTACCACAGTGAATTTTCGCGAAGAGCTCCATTTTCATATAATGGGCCTAAACTATGTATCCGTTTTCATGGCTGCCTCAGTTAGCAATAAGTTACATAAGGCGGGTTTGGCGCTGTTTACATTAAATATAAGCTCGGAAGGTTCCTGTCGTGGTTAAATTATGTCACATAAGATATTAAATAAATATCTCAAAAAGAGACTGGATGTGGTACAGTCCAAACACTTTAGTAAAGCAGAAGTTGATTAAATGTAATATACATTTAATCCATTAATATTTACCGTGTATTCAGGCTAAATATGTGAACATATTTAACAGGCATCTAAATAAACTAGGTTATATATGGTATGCCTCTATTTAGCCATAACCTGAATTTCAATTTAATATCTGTCATCTATCTATTTACTGTATATGTTAATTGACAGTGTTGCTATCACATGCATGTTACAGCTGAGTAATATTTGTTTAAACTTTAATAGTTCTCATAGATTCCACATGTTTTATACAAATAGGCACATTTTAAATGGGCACTGCACCGAATGTACTAGAAAGGAGATTTTAATTTGGCTCCTGTGTTCTGTCTTCTCTTTTCAGGTAGTCAGACAAATGCAAATGAATTCAAAGAATTTATTTTAAATGCATTTCCGAAACTAAGGCAAGGGGGTGGATTTGAATTGCTAAAGATTACTGGAACAACAAGAAGTCGCAAGCTGACGATTATCCCCTGTCCCAATGATGGCTACAATGCCAGATATCTAAAGAATCCGCAAACTCAGATTGGTCATGCCACCCTTTTCATTCACCCACTTCAGAGGAATCTGAATCTTGACCCTGTGAGTTCTTCACTTTAAACAGTTGTGTCTTTGTAATAAATGCAGACTTGGGGTGACCGTAACTTTATAGTAATGAATTTAATTGCTCTCTTTTGCAGACATCTGAGCCAGAAGGCAGCAAAATGGAGCTAGCTGGACCACCTCAGAAATGTGTCATATGTGGAGAAGAGTTCCAATTTTCACAAATCAAAGCTCATAGTAATGAATGCATGAGGTATGGCTCTTTACAGCTTAAACATAAAATTTGTTAAAGCATTACATGTGGTGTTGAGGGATTATGCCTCCACCTTCAGCCAACAGGTTACTGCGGGTGCATTTAAATGTACAGTGTACTTTGTACCACTATAGCATGTACATGAGAAATATATTAACTAGGCAAACATGACCAATCAGCTTCCATTTGATTTTTATCATAGGCCTGAATGTTTTTCAAGTTTTACCTAGTAAAAATGTCTATGGAAAATTTAACAACTCTGATATTGACAGACTATTGGAGACCAGTGATGAGGTACAGATGGCTGAGGTCTCAGGAAGTGCCAGCCATAACCAAAATGTAGATAGAGGAGAGAGTACTCTGACAAGACCACAGGAGAGTCGAACAGCAACGACCAGCAACACTGAGGTCTCTGCATCACATTCAGGAGATATGTCAGCCCCAGTGACACCTCAGGAACATGTGTCCTCTCCTCAGATTACTGAAGGTGCTTTACTACGTCATATGATTGACCTTTACAGCACATTTTATGCATATTAAATGTTTATTTGTGTATAAACTTTCTTAGGTTGGAAAATCGAGCCAGATCCTACTGAAGCTGTCAAGATATTCAAACAAGACATCTTACAGAAGTACTCAACTGGAAAACCAATAAGTCTTACCATAGATCTTGGAGACAGTGCAGAGGACAGGGAGAGGGCAATCCTTTCTTTCTACAAAATGGCTCATGTTGAGTGGGCTTCCCCTTTGATATGCACATTGAAGGGTAAATATCTTGTGATTTAAAATTGATATGATGCACTTTACAGTACTTAACATTTGTGAAAGATAGGGTAGCAAAGCATATATGCTCATTTGTGACCATTTTTACCCTTAACTAAAACCCAAAAGTATCACGTGGACACATGCAAGCTTGTTTAAATTAGATGGAGGAAGAAAATGTTTGTTTTCAATATGTTTTGCATCCTTAGGAGATCCAGCAATTGGAGATGGCGTGACTCGTCACATCTTTGCCACAATCATGTCCAAACTTCAGTTGGGTTTGACATTTTTGTTGTTGCTGGTCGAATGATAGGTCATTCATTCCTACATGGTGGCCCATATCTAGCTGGACTGAGCCCAGCAATCCTGCATGTGCTCTTTGGAGGATCCACAGAAGAAGCCACAGTAAATATTAAGGACTGTGCTGATCTCGACATCTGTGAAACAATCAAGTTGGTATGTTGTCTTTGTTTGGTATAGTTTTATTAATAATAAGAAATGCCATAACAAATGAAGTGTGCCAATATTTATTGGTATTTTGATTGTGATGCGTTAATATTTTCAAGATTAATCTTAAAAATCTTAAAAATACATGACAATCAAAATGCCAGTTAATAATGCAACACTTACTTTTTAATATCAGCTGGAAGGTACTGCTGAATTGTTATCTGAAGAAAAACATGCTATCAATGAACTGGCAATGTCCTGGGATTTTCCACAAGTCACATCTGAAAACAGGAGGTGGCTGCTGGATAAACTACTTCTCCATGCTGTAAGTATTTTGTACTCAACAGGATGTGAAATGAAACAGAGGGTTAAGAGGATTAGAACAGTGGAAGTCTTTTTTTTTTTTAACAGATAATATACAAGGTGTAGCTCGAGCACAAGACTGTTTAGATGTACTGTGACATAACTATTTTGCAGGTCCTTGGAAGAACCTCCAAACAAGTGAAGCACTTACGACGAGGCCTGAAAGAGACTCTAATCTGGCCTTTGCTAAAAGAGAGGAAAGACACAATTCCATTGCTCTTTCCAAGATCATCTGATGTGCAGTATACATCACAGGTGAACACATTAAAATACAATGTGCATTTTTCATTGACTTTAGGGATTATTTGGACATATGTATTATTTTCTTTGCGAAAACTTATGAGAATCAGGTAGATGACTGATAATGATTTTGCTAACAGAATAATTCACAGGGTAAACTCACTAAGGGAGAGACAAACAGATAGATGCAATTAGTATAAATGTCACCTCTACATTCAGTTAAAATGTAGCTCCTATTCAGATATGGTCTCCTTAATTTTTGTTTCTCACCATAGATAGAAATCTGTTTCTAAATGTAAGGAGAATAAAGGTGAAATCTGATGAATAATTGGGAAACTAATCTTAATTTTCATATACAAAAAATAGTTTTTAGTTTAATTTCTCTTAGCTAAATGGAAATATAGGTGTTACCTGATGCCTATTATTTCTGCCAGATCATCTTGGGCAAGATAAACTGGCCATTGCAGGATGAAGATGGCGACAGCGATGTCTCTTTGGAAGATGCATGTAGGATCACTGGATATCTTCGCACATTCATTGAGAACGGTAAATTGCTAGTTTCATTGAAAATGGGACAAGTGTTACAATAATGTTTGCATTACACAAACAAGTTTTTATTCTCCTCTGTGGTAGCATCTTCAAACCTGCTAGGAGAACTATTGCAGTTTTGGGTGGGATGGAACGTGCTTCCCAGATACTTAGACGTTGAAGTGGTGGAGGGCACCTTCCCAAAGTCCTCAACGTGCTTTCACCTTCTCAAACTCCCAAGACATTACAAAGAGTACAGTGTCTTTGAAAGAGACCTGCTGGCTGCTATTGAGAGTGTCGATACAGGTTTTGGATTGGTCTAAACCAAGGAGTATGTTTATTTTATATTTCACTTTGGAGAGACCCAAGAGGGAAAATGCAGTTAGAAGTTTGTTGATTGAGCATGTTTGGCGCCCCAGGCCCGGGAGAGATTCTGTTGAGCGCGGCGCTTGCTCGCACGCATGATCCCCCCCGGGGCCTAGGCACTGGTTGTGGCAGAGGCAGTAGGCAACGCGCTTCGATGAGAAACGGAGGAGGTGGGGCGGCGGAGGCTTGCGGACTTCAGAAGGCCGGGAAGTGGGTGTCTCCGGCTTTTAACTTGCTGTCCTGGTGGTTATTGGTTGATTAGATGTGGGCGTTGCTGGTATGATGAGTCGAGGATGAGCAGGCTTGTAGATCTGGGCAAGCAGCGGCCGGGTCTACCACAGTGAACTTTCGCGAAGAGCTTCATTTCACTTTGGAGAGACCCAAGAGGGAAAATGCAGTTAGAAGTTTGTTGATTGAGCATGTTTGGCGCCCCAGGCCCGGGAGAGATTCTGTTGAGCGCGGCGCTTGCTCGCACGCATGATCCCCAAAAACGGGCAGAGTTATCTTTGCGCGCCGGGACGTGAGCGCTCGCATCACAATCAACCGGACGCTGCCTGGGACGTGAGCGCTCGCATCACGATCGATACCAGACGCTGTAGCGGAGTTGCCTTTAAGCGCCGGGACGTGAGCTCGCATCACGATCAACCGGACGCTGCCTGGGACGTGAGCGCTTGCATCACGATCGATACCAGACGTTGAAGCAGAGTTGCCTTTAAGCGCCGGGACGTGAGCTCGCATCACGATCAACCGGACGCTGCCTGGGACGTGAGCGCTCGCATCACGATCGATACCAGACGTTGAAGCAGAGTTGCCTTTAAGCGCCGGGACGTGAGCTCGCATCACGATCAACCGGACGCTGACTGGGACGTGAGCGCTTGCATCACGATCGATACCAGACGTTGAAGCAGGGTTGCCTTTAAGCGCCGGGATGTGAGCTCGCATCACGATCAACCGGACGCTGCCTGGGACGTGAGCGCTTGCATCACGATCGATACCAGACGTTGAAGCAGGGTTGCCTTTAAGCGCCGGGACGTGAGCTCGCATCACGATCAACCGGACGCTGCCTGGGACGTGAGCGCTTGCATCACGATCGATACCAGACGTTGAAGCAGGGTTGCCTTTAAGCGCCGGGACGTGAGCTCGCATCACGATCAACCGGACGCTGCCTGGGACGTGAGCGCTCACATCACGATCAACCAGACGCTGCAGCAGAGTTATCTTTGAAGAAGTGCGTGCCGCCACCAGGATCTTATAGGTTCACTTACTTTGCTTTGTATTGCTTTGCTGGGAGCTTACGAGGAAGCCAGTTGCCGTTGTGCAGCCAGGATGGCGGACGCGTCTGGGCTGATGTAGGCGGAGAAAGCCGAAGAGGACCAGCGCCCCAGCTGTTGCAGAGAGGTGTGGGGGAGCCCCAGCGAGGCCGCGCGCGTGGCAGCGCCTATCCTGAATGAGTGAGCTGTGTAGAGCTGGGGAGATAATTTACAGAGGAGCAGTAGGGATCTTAGCTGAGCTCTGAACCAGGTTGCTGTCATGGGAAGAATGTCTGGAGTGAGAAAGAGAGGTCCGTTAAAATCTCCTTTTTGCAGCGGAGGCGAGTGTAACGCATCATGGACCTGTAGGGGCAGAGAGATGTGTCGGAGCGAGCTGTTACTATATTGCAGGCTCCTTTGATGTTTTGAATGTTTGAGATGAAGGTTGAAATGGTCAGGGGACATTATGTTGGGTGAAAAAGAGCGACCTTTGTGTAAGCTTCCACTACATCGAGATTATCACACATGACAGAGATCCTCTTTCTCTGCCACGTGTGATTCCACAGCGCGCAGCCACGACCACTGGGAATATCTCGTGTAGGGCAGAAGAAATGCTCCGGTGGAAAGTAGCGGCCACAGCCAGGCAAACCAATGGTCCTGGAAGAACCCCCAAAACCCACGGAAGGGGCAGCGTCCGTGTAGAAGCGGAGACCTGTAGGGGCAGAGACATGTCGGAGATGGCCATTGATGTTCCAGGCGCCCTTACGCTTAGAATCTTGGGTTGGAGAGTAGATAATCAGGATAGTAGGATGGTCGGGAAAGCCGTGTCTCGGACCGCATGAAGGTTGAGTGAGCAGTAGTGAAACGCTTATGCAGAGAAGCCATAGAAGGCGAGCAGGAAGATGCCGCGAGGAGGGCAGACATGTACTTGGAAGATGAGCCGGAGTTCAGCGCCGCTGCAGGATGGGCAGCATCACGCCAGTGTGCGCCGCTTGTCTCTGTGAGCCAGGTTACATACGTGTCTGAAAGAGCCGAGCCGTAGAGACAGGTGCAGCCCGGGAGCCCGCGGAGCGGCAGCGGCAGGAACAGCAGCAGCGGCACATGTAGTAGCAGGAGCAGCAGGAGCAGGCAGCGGGAACAGGCAGCAGCGGGATCAGGCATCAGTAGGAACGGCAGCAGCGGCGGTCAGAGAACCATGCCCATGGTTGTTTAACAGCCTGAGGAAATAAATCAACCCGAATCCGAAACATTCCCATGCGAATAACAGATGTCCCCGGAGCCATCTTGCTGCTTTGGTTATGGTAGAACGCATGAACGATCATTTTTCCATGCGTTCATTAGCTCCAACTCCACTTCAAACCCATTGCAGATTCACATTGGGCCCTTTTTTCTTTCTGCTGCACTTTCAAAATGCAACAACTGCAGTTTAGTTACCCAATTTAAACTAGTGACCTAGCTATTTAAATGCATGGCCCCTCCTTCCTCCTGCAGATAGACGAATTTAAATACATTCATTTAACAATAGTGACCTGCGAGTAATGAGATTAATGCTGTAAAGATGGCGCCGTGGCAAGAGTTCTGGTGTGTGCCGTCTGAAGCACGATGGGTAGTCTTTGCACATTTTTTATTTATTTTTTTTTTTTTCAACGTGGTTTTACTGCGAGTGGCAGAACATGAATCTGAATTAATGCACATTGCTCCTCTTATATCCCTCAGACAATAGAGATTGATGCCATTTAAGATGCATTGTCCCTCAGTTAGCTCAAACACGTGTGAAAACGGAGCCTGCAGACCAAGCACGGGGCGAAAACTGACGCCTGCAGTCAAGTGCGTAGGGCAAAAACCAGCCGCCTGCAGCCTAGACTCCGGGATTAATCCGTCCGCGGTCGGCACACACACTGTACTCACATGCCAGGAGACTTGGGAAAAGCAACGGGACAACGCGGCACCGCCAATCGGAGGCAGGGACACGCACGGCACCGCCAGACCGTCTGCGCGCGGCAGCAGACCACGAGGAACGAGCAGCACAAAAACCCGCGGAGGGGCCCCGCGGAGCAGCCCGCAGAGGAGGAGAAGCAGTGGAGACACGCGAACCACAGCAGGTGCAGGGACGCGGAGGAGGAGCAGACCACAAGCAGCCAGACTGAGGACAGCCGGGTCACGCGCACGAGCAACACGTGAGCAGAAGCAACCCCTCCAGAACAACGCATGCATTTGCGAACAGGTGCGTTAGCGACAAGCACCTTGCAGGCTTCAGAAGCTTGCGGACTTCAGAAGGCTGGGAAGTGGGTGTCTCCGGCTTTTAACTTGCTGTCCTGGTGGTTATTGGTTGATTAGATGTGGGCGTTTTGCTGGTGTAATGAGTAGAGGATGAGCAGGCTTGTAGATCTGGGCAAGCAGCGGCCGGGTCTACCACAGTGAACTTTCGCGAAGAGCTTCATTTTGTTATTAATGATGTTCGGATTGTAGGTTCACTCCCATCGTAGGAGACATGGTTTGTGAAATAATCATTTCAAAAGCATCTCAAATAAGAAAAAGATTTAAGATGAATCAGAATCATAATTGGACACTGCGGCTAACTTTTAAATATCCAAGTTGTAAAAGAATTTCACCTGGACAGCTGAATGTTTTAACGTTTCATTGTTTTGCATGTTTTAACACATTCAAACAAAAGTTTTGTTGATATACTTTATGTATACAATCTGTTTGTATAATGCAAGAAGTACTTTAAAATAAAACACCAGATGCTCTGCCATTACAAAATTATGTGGCTTCACATTTCAAATGACAATGTGTTTGTTATATTGTTAGATTTTTCAAAAATCTGCACTGGTAATAGAGCTTGTAAAGAAGAAACTTTGAGTCGCTTCATTTAGCTTTTACTTCATGTGATTTACAATTTTACTGGATCATTTCAGATAATAAGTTCACAGTTTGTATATACACATCTAATGCATTCAACAGAGGACCATCGGGGTGTGGCAGACTGTGTATTTCTTCCTCTGACAGGGAGCGCTGCAGCTGAACTTCAGGGACCACAACATGAGGTTGTCGATGACCACATGGTGCTGTCCAGTCAACACCATACTCACTGTCTACCTGCAATAACAGGAGATTGGTTGAAAGATAGGTTAAAAGGTTTTTTTGTTTTTTTTTTGCCAGAATTTGTCATTATTCAAACCTGCATGGGGTCGTGTTGTGCTTCACGCTCATAGCCAGACCACAGCTGAAGTGGAGTCTGATTTCCTTCAGTTCGCAGTCGATGGCAGTTCCAACCGCGTTTGAAAAAGGTGAGGTGCTTCTGAATGTGCGGCAGAAAGCTCCAGTGTAGAGCATAGAGATGGAGTTCAAAGTCAGGGTTCAGAAGGCCTTCTCTCTCAAGGTTGGTGAAGAGGGTGTAGAAGAGATCAAGCACTCCCACATAAACATCTCTCCAGAGCCTCTCTATTCTCATCGTAAAAGTCAAATAATTAATAAATATTCTGTGTCATTCTGTGAACATTTCTAATTTGGACATATACAGTTAACACAGGCTGTACACTATTACCATACGATAAACCTTAGTGTAAAAGTGGATGAGAGCCAGACAAAATATTGGATATTATGGAAGAAAAGGAAGATATTTTTTTCATGTTTTCGTTTTAGTTCAAATTTAAAAAAAAAAAACTGAAATTAATTACAGATTGGTAACAGACTACACTAAAAGT